ATATCGCTTCGATATGGAGACGAAGTTTTAAGTAGCACATTCTGATCGATCGTTTAAGACTTCGTCAAACATAGACTTGTGTACTCAAGTCTGGTCATCTCTTACCATCTCATTGAGTTTTGATTAGCCTCTTTCGACATTTTGTGCTTTGCTATGGCTCTGAAATTCCATAACTACATTCGGCATTGTGTCTGTTCATGTGTTTTATCGTAGGTGACGCATCCACAGCTCTCTCACTATCGTTGGCTAGCAATCAACGCTGCCGACACACTTCGCTAAATGTCTTTGCTCTTGGTGAATCAACTGCTGGCACTACCCACAGTGGAGGTCGAAATACCATGTCTAGAACAACCTCAGGAGAAGCAACAGCCCTTCAAAATGATCCCGGCCTTCGGTGGAAGATCTCCTACCTGGGTGTTTGGCCCTCACACCAAATTGAGCTTCGACGTGCCCTGAAACTAGTACATAATGCCCTATGTCTGAGCATGCCCCATATTATCAACTCAGCCATCCTGAGTTGTCACAAGAATCTCTTGTGGTATCGTCTCTTTGACGCTCAATACTTTCCTTCTGCTCTTACGTCTGCTGCTCCACCAGTGCCACCATCCAATGCCGAAGAAGTCGATGAAATCGGTCAAGAGGCTGTATCTCTTCTCCTTCCTGAGACTACACATCGTGGGTTGTCTTGTGAGGAGTTCCATGACCTCATAAACTCAGCGCCTCTAAAGGTGGACCTCCTTCGAATGGATCCAAGGCTTTTGGATTTGCTAAATATTTGTGGAGAGCACTTGACCTCTTCTGTGGTGAATCACCTCAACTCCAGTGGTGGAAAAGCAGTTGCTTTCCTATTCAATGATGTCATTGAATTGGGTAGTAGGTGGACACACCTGGCAGTTATTGATCCCTCTTTCCGTGAAGGCCTTATTCACATCTCCTGGAGGCGTGAACGCGGATCATTTCGACGGTCTCAGAGATCATTTTTACGTTTCATTTGGGAGACCAAGGTCGAAAAATCGCCGTCAGCCATTTCCAAATTTTCCTCGTTTTTACGAAACATAATGGCACCCATGAAGGAACCTATAGAGGGGATTTCACTGTCTGAAGCCTCAGGGGAGATCGAATCCTCCTGGAAGTTCTGCGTAAGTTCTCTGCAAGCAC